CATTACATTACGCAAATGCTTAGCGCTTGCAGTGGCCCAAATAGAAACTTCCTCTTTGATGCGTCGCATGACAATCGCCACCGGCGCCGCTTTGCTCCCGAAGACACGAGCATTTCTTTCATTCCAGATCTTCCATCCCACAAGAAGTAACAGGGAATAGGGACTTCATCAGGAGTATGTTATCAGAGAGGACCGCATCCCACCAAAATTTCACCGAATCGAACAGGAGCCACGGGGCCGTGGGATAGCAAGCCCAAGCCATGAGAAGACCGTATTCCAAATCCGAACAGAGAAACGCCACTTGAAGATCAGGTGTGCTGCAGATTTTTGCACCTAACTGCAGAGTGGGCATTTGTCACAATTTGGCCATCCTCTCCTCTGAAACCTATCAACCGTCCAAACTCTGTTTTGGATAACGAGCCACGCGAAAAATTTGCATTTGGGGGGAGCCCACGCCTTCCAGACCGTAGCAACCAAACTTGAGAGCCGGGAGGTCATGAAACTGCGCCAAATAAGCAGACTTTGCAGAGTAGTGCCCATCATTGGTTGACTTCCACACTATAGAGTGCTGCTAAGGGCATCTTCAATGGTTGTAAGATAATTGTTGATAAACTTTGCCACATAGGATTTTTTATGACGTGTCACACAATAAATGAAAAAAGAGAGAAAGGTTGTATATACATGACCAACACCCCTTGCACAAGCTCCAATGTAAAATGAGAGAGCACATTATTTATTATCTCACATCTTATTGGGCAAACTAGATACAACTCATTGAAGATGTTATATGTTAAGGTGTTGGTTAATGACATGACATATTTTATCAACAAGCTAACATACAAACTGTTGGAGATGCCCTAACAGACTACATTAACACTGTCATTTAATGGTCCAAGGGTACGCCACTCAGAATGCATGTGCGTCACGATAACTCCTTTCCTTTCGCAACGATAGTAAGTACTCGCATAATGAAAAAGCGTTTTTTACACTAGTGTAGAGTAAAAACAGCCCATATATTATGAAACATAGAGAGTAGTACTTAAAATTGCAGAAGTTATAATTGTAACAAATAATTTTTGCAGCACAAAATATTATTATTTTTGTGGGAAAAACTTTTGATCTATTCATCGGACATTATCGTAGTACACAGAACATCAGAAGTAATAAAAAATACATTCATGTCTATAGACCATATAGTGACGACTACAAACACTGAAGCGAGTCGAAAGCATGCCACTGCCATCGACTCTCCCTCGTCAAGGTCGGCAAACTTTGTTGTAGTAGACAGTCAGAAAGTCATCGTGCTTAGACACCAAATGACTAGCACACCATAACAGCAACCCTCACCAACAATGAGAATTCTAGATCGGAAGGATCCAACTTATACACACACGAAGGCAGACGAACAAAGTCTGGATTCAAGCAGATCCACCAAAGACAAACACCAAATGAATCCACGAGATCCGTCGGAGACACACATCCACACGCCCTCCAACGACATGGACACACCGACGGGTGGGGGCTAGGCGGAGAGAAGCTTATTACATCTTGAGGAAGCCACCCCGCCTCGCCACACAAATCCTAAACAAACTAAAACAAACATCTAAAAAGTGAGCAGAGCCTTCCTGCCGGCTGGGGTCCACCATGTCTCTATTGCCCTCATATTATGAAAGACAGACAGATCAACAATGACGCCAGCGAGAGACGGGACAACCTTACTACTCCTGATGGTTTTCTCATTCATCACCGAGTATACTTTATTACTACTCCCTTCGTTTCTAAATATAAGTCTTTTTAGAGATTTCAATACGAACTACATAGGAAGCAAAATTAGTGAATCTACACTATAAAATATGTCTATATACATCCATATGTAGTTCGTATTGAAATCTCTATAAAGACTTATATTTAGACACGAAGGGAGTAGATGAACAAACTATTACATCACGGGAAACATTCATCTAAATATGAAACTAATTTGTAAAGTCGATTTAGAAACAATGATGGGCAGCTTTACATTTTCTTATATAATTCTATGATTTTCAGCTACTATATTATGCCGTGTGACATATAGTTTATAATTTATACAGCGAACACAGAGCGCATGTACGTCTTGTCTTTTAGGATGGGAGGGGGGGGGGATTGCCATTTGAGCATGAGCACATTGAGCCCCTTTTTAAAAGTTCAAAATAGCGACCCAAAATTTTGTGTACATGCATGTTTAACACCGCAATATAACATGCCAAAATTTCACCAATATACGTGCGTGCATCTAAAATGTAAAAAAAATGACAAAATACAAATTTGGGTTTTGCTTTCTGTTGATTTTGGGCTGAAATTTTGTCTTTTTTGTGCAGCATATAGCACAATGTATTATTGAAAAAGAATCACAATTATTTAGACCACATGCATGCATATTCATGTAAAAAGACCATTTTCTTCAAATCTTTTAAGCACCTCTTTTGAGGTGTTAAAAAAAAGCTCTAATGCACCTTTGCACAGAAAGTCCGCTTTAGGCCACGCTTGGTTCGTCGTTTCTCCATCGAATTTATTTTCCACCTGTAACTATTTCCACCAGTATTAAACTGGGTACCCATCAAAACAGGGTGGAAAGAAATTGAAGCGTGGAAGGTGTGTATTAAGGTCCTGTTTGGTTCATAAGTCTTAGGACTTTTTTTAGTCCCAACTTATAACTATCAAGTCCCTAAAAAGTCCTTACCTGTTTGGTTCCTGGGACTTATAAGTCCCTATAAGACCATATTACAACTATAAGTCCCTATAAATCCCTCCTTGAGAGTCTTATTTCATAAGTCCCAAATGCCCACTTTAAGTCCCTATAAGTCCCTCCTGTTTGGTTTAGATGAGACTTATAGGGATTTTTTTAAGTCCCTAAGCCAATAAGTCCCTGGAAACAAACACCCTCTAATTTTTTCTAGCGGAAGGCACGAACAGGCTTGTTTTTTGGATCTAAACAGCCAACCAAGCGGGTATTTCCGAGAAGCACGTAGAAATCCCTGCCATACTCTGCCTTTGAGTCATTGACAGGTGGGCCCCATGCTCTGTAGGACCCATGTGTCAGTGACTCAAAGTAGGCTACCCCACGGCAGGGATCCTCGTCGGGGAGAAGAAAAGATGATTGGGATAGGCATTGATCTTCTTGTGTAAAGGCACTTGTTTGGAACCAAACCTACTTGGTTATGGAAATTCTTTTAGAAGTAACCAAACACTCCAACACTCCACGGCGTCCGCACTTCAGCAGCGTGTATCGCAGTTCAACTGCACAATCTAGTGGACTCATAAATAGCCGCCCGATCAGCTTTCGTTAGGCAACCATTCTCATGCATTTATGAAACTGAATTCTACCTTCTTCCGACGGTAACAGATGTACAGTTTCAAACACCGGACCCAGAAGCTGGAAGAAAAGTATATAGTACTCCCCCGTCCTATAATATAAAACGTTTTTTGACACCACACTAGTGTTAAAAAACGTCTTACATTATGGGACGGAGGGAGTAGTTCTGTAAGATTCTTGGTTTCTCACAGCAGTTAAATTTTATCGGATTTGCTAATTCTCGTATACTCCCTCCGTAAAAAAATATAAGAGTGTTTAGATCGCTAACTCCTAAGCCATCGATTAATCAAACAAAAAAAAGAAAAGAAAAAAAGAACCCATACAACTCCTCGCGTAAAATCAAATAGTGTAGGGTTCTGACAAAAGAAAGGATAAAAATAACTTGCAGTGTTAAGGGACAGGCCAATTGATGCAATACTACTAATACTAGTAGCTCTAAATTTGCAGCTACTCAATGCGAAAAAAAAGTTCTCGTCCCCAATAAAGACAAACCCAGCTAACACTGCCTACTTCCTACTCCGCCAACTACCCGAACAGAGCATAGAAGCAAAGGCCATTCCATCAACAGGGCAGTACACTTTCACTCAATGATATGTTGCAGCTACCCATTTGCCTCCTCCAGCTGACACATTCAGCGCTCGCAGCTTGGATTCTACCACATGAATATGCACAGGAGTTTTCTTTCTTCGCGGTGACCAATTTGGTAAACCCAGGAGAAACGCATTAACTGAGGTCTTCCTTACAGTTCCATGCACCTCGTGAAAGTAAAGATTCCATTGGGAGCTCTTTCGACGAGATTTTGTCCTCGACAATCCCAGGTCCCTGAGTAGCAACGACGACGAGCTCTGCTACGGCCTCGACACTTGATTGTAGTACAAAGATTGTACATAGTACTCCTATATACCAGAAGAAGATTTTGTTTTGCAACATTTGACACTTCTTTCCAATTGCAGTTGGCACAGATAAATACCCCAAAAATCCAAGACAAGACCGTAAATTACACCTCCACTTAATTGCACATATGGTGTGTGTAGTGTACATACAAGCATACAGAAGCACATCTTATACCCTACAACAACAACAACAACAACAAAGCCTTTAGTCCGAAACAAGTTGGGGTAGGCTAGAGGTGAAACCCATAAGATCTCGCAACCAACTCATGGCTCTGGCACATGGATAGCAAGCTTCCACGCACCCCTGTCCATAGCTAGCTCTTTGTCGATACTCCAATCCTTCAGGTCTCTCTTAACGGACTCCTCCCATGTCAAAATCGGTCGACTCCGCCCTCTCTTGACATTCTCCGCACGCTTTAGCCGTCCGCTATGCACTGGAGCTTCTGGAGGCCTGCGCTGAATATGCCCAAACCATCTCAAACGATGTTGGACAAGCTTCTCCTCAATTGGTGCTACCCCAACTCTATCTCGTATATCATCATTCCGGACTCGATCCTTCCTCGTGTGGCCACACATCCATCTCAACATACGCATCTTCGCCACACCTAACTGTTGAACATGTCGTCTTTTAGTCGGCCAACACTCCGCGCCATACATCTTATACCCTAGCTATGAATTTAATCTCGCTTCCGGCCGCTGCAAAAGAGAAAACTGCACAGATCCTTGGCTGTACGTACTAGACCTTGGCGCCAGAATCACATGAACCCACTAAATTTCCCCTCTCTCTTTTCAATAACATGTATACAATAAATTGAAGAAGAAGAAAAGCCATGAAAGCGCCACGAGACCGGGCCATGCACCCACGAGATGCATGTCCGCATGGGCTAGCTAGTGCTTTTCATCTCCAGCTAGCCAACCAGTACTCCGGCCGGCAGCGCAATGAATGGAATCTGGATCCATGGACGGGTCTCTCTCAGTTGAACTTGGAGCAGACCTTCCTGACCTCCCCGCTGGCGCCGGTGAGCACGCCGATGCTGCCCATCTTCACCATGGAGTCCGCGAAGTCCTGGCGGAAGTAGGGCCCGAAGATGGTGCTGAGGAGGCCCGAGTAGGAGTCCACCACGTCGACGGTGCTGGTGTCGTTGTAGAGCGCCGCGTCGGAGGCGATGACCGCGAAGCCGTTGCGGATGTTGCGGAGGATGGAGGTGTCGAAGACGCTCTCGCTGCCGCGGTCCAGGGAGACGCGCGAGTTGGAGTCTCCCGGCGCGCACCGGGACTTGAGCTCTGACAGGAAGCCGTCCGGGATCGACGGGTCTGACCCGAGCCCGCCGCCCGGGAGCGGGAAGCTGTAGAGCCGCTGCTGGATGAAGAAGCACGCCGTCGTGCCCACCGTGTGCGCCGCTGCATGCATGCCGCCATCGACGGGTTAGGGACAGGGGTTCATGATCGACCGAGGGAGCGCAAGGAAAGAGGTGGGTTGGTTTGCTTGGTTACAGCTGAGGAGGACGAGGTCCTTGTCGTCGAGGCCGCTGGCTCGGAACTTGGAGCGGAGCACCTGGGCGGAGTCGCGCACGTCCGGCAGCACGTCAGCGTCCCGCACGTTGGACACCTTCCCGTCGCGGCGCCCTGTCGGCACGTCGAACGACGGCCCGCCGGTCTGCACCAAAGAAACCGATCAATTCCCACTGCCATCCATGCAGGCATATGCGCAGCGCGCACGAGAATGTTACTGTACTTACGAATGCGACGGCGTCGCGCGCGGCCAGGACGACGACGTCGGCGCACGAGACGACGCCGGGGCACTCCGACTCGAGCTGCGCCTTGGCGTTCTCGATGACGTCCATCCCGCGGAGCCCCTGGTGCTTGTTGTTGTCCACCTCCGCGTTGTTGCTCCCGCCCTTGATCAGCACCGACGCGTCGCACCCCTGAGATCGAGAGGCGCAGAACCAGCCGAATTCCCACGTCAAACACACGACGAATTACTGCCTTTACCCTGGCGAATTGCCGAGGGAGAGCGCGCGTGCGTACCCTGACGAAGCAGTCGTGGAACTGGAGACGGAGGAGGGCGGGGAGGATGGTGGAGTCGGCGGCGGCGGTTCCCCGGACGACGGACGCGACGGTGGATTCGGCGCTGGGGCACGACTTGGAGTAGAACCCCACCTGCAGCTGCCCACTGGAGCTGGAGACGCAGGCTCCTAGCACCACCAGCAGCAGGGCCACGGCACCGCTGGCAGTACCCATCTTAGAAAAGAATCTAGAGAGCGAGGAGCTCGCGAGAGAAAGAGAGAAAGAAAAGGCCCGAGGAGAGCTAGGATCAAGGTCCTCTGCGCTGCGTTAATGGGGTTTTATAAGCTCTCGTCCGGTGAAGAAGTAGAACCGTAGGCCAGCCAACACATGGATGATTTGACCTCACCGCAAAGAGTAGGTGCCAAGCATTTAGTGGTAAAAAACTGCATACTGCAGCATGCAGGCATGCAGGCAGGCATACTCCTAGAACAAGATAGTATAACCTTGCCGAGGTGAAAGTTTGTCATATTTGGAGTACAGGTGTCACCGTGTCAGGTAGCAATACATAATTTCACGAACAACAATCTGGACCAGTATTTACTGTAGTACTGAAGACATGCATGAAAGCCCAAGTGAGGATTTCACGAGGAGGATTCTGGTGGGAGATCTGATCGAAATGTGCCGCATAGATTCTTCGTGCGTCCTTTCGAATTTATAACGTGAAAGAAAATGTCGAGTACGGCGAAGCTGATGAATCTACCACCTAGCCCCAGAAGTTGATCTCCCAATTCAATCTTTGCGGGGACACGGCCATGAATGCCATACACGGTTCCGGGAATAGCCGGGGAGAGAAGTTCCTCCTGGACCATGGTAAGCCTGGCCGGCCATGCGTCCATGTGCGCAGGCCACCGGCCGGTATTGATGCGCGCGGCTCCAGCGTGCCACAATTTATGGCCCAGTTGTCACGGCAAAAGGGCATGCGGCAAGTTGCCGGCGAGTGAGTAAAGATTTGCTGCTGCGGCATTGCAGCTTGCATGCCATGCCATGCCATGAGATGGTCGCAGCCGGATTGCCTCAACTACGAAAGTGTGCGAGTTCTCCCCTGATTTTGGGGTTTTGGGGCTTTATGACAGAGCAATTCCGTGCAGGGAAACGCTTGCATCATGGGTTTGGAAACCATGTTCGTTGTCCAGGCATGCACAAGGCCGGTAATGGACTGTTTTTTCTGTTAGAGTTGTACCCCAACTCTAGCACAATTGTCATATTCGCAGCCTTCATAACTTGTATGGAGCGTGCTTTACAAAGTTTTGGGGGCTATAAGGGCTGTGAGCAAATACATAGTCATCAAAACACACAATTAATCTATTTCTCTTTCTATTTACTTCTTACCTCAATCGAACAATTACTATAATTTAGCTCAAATTGTTCACCAATTCAGCAAAAATCATTAATCCGAATACAATAAATAGTCAAAATGCAAAAATAATCCGACCAACTATTTTGAGTAAAAGTAAATGAAATGTAAATAAATCTAAATAAACTATCTCCTAGCTAGCTGTCAATGATGCTGAATGAAATCCTCCTTCGCCGGATTAACAAACTACAATGACAACAAGATTGCTATTCTAGTCATCAACTAGAGTTCCCAACTTTTATTTATTTAGTGTAAATGATGGCAATGGTTAAATTGGACATCAATACAATATCTCATCTCTAAATAGGAGCTACTTCATATATTGTTTTAATAGTGTAAAGAATGTGTGAAAACTATTGCCAAGTATTCAATAGTAATAAATCAAATTCAAGATCGATGTTCTTATCAAGTTTTAACTATCCCAAGCATGTAAGTTTACAAGTTCTGAACCAACTCATAAAAATATGCCCAAGATATCACAATAAAATCATGTCAACCAAGTTCAAACTTTCCAATAGGTATAAGTGAAGCACGGAAAGTTAACAATGTTTCTACACCACTTCTTTGACTCTAGTAGATTTATGTGAAGCACATAGAGTAAATAATCAAGCCAAGCAAACCCCTTTCACTTATTGACATAATGACCGGAGGTGATGATTATACTTTATTCAAAAAGAAAAATATGTTCCAAGATAAATGCATAAAAGCAATGGATGGATAAAGGTTTAGTGAAGTGATACTACAAAGGTTGTCGAAGAAGGGGGATGCCCATTTGTTGTTTGAGTCTTCTTGGAAAAAAATGGGGGTTCCTTGGGCATCCCCGAGCTTAAAGCTCGCACTCTCTTGGTCTTCCCTTGATGGTGATGGCATCCCTAATGAAGTAAACTTTTATCCAAACACAACTTAAACAAAACTGTGAGTTTTGTTAGTCCATAGAAAATCACTAATAGCTCTAGTTGTTGTATATAAAACATGGAAACATGGTAAAACATTAGTTACAACAAGGAACACAATAATAGGCTCTCCTGATGAAGGAGAAACCAAAAGTATGCAAACATATAGCTAACATTCAAGTTGCACAACAACCTGTCAAAACAGATGAGCAGGTAAAGACACAACTTTCAGAAATACTTACATAACTCACAAATTTTTGAAATAATTAGAGTAAATACTAGACATACATGATTCAATTATCTAGGTATTTCAATATTTTATCATGCCCTAGCAATTTTGGGGGATGTTTGCAGTAACAGCAAAACCGTAGTTTCACAAGACACTACCAACATAGTCATAACATTGAAGTTAATGGCAAAACTTAGCACCTTATTAAAAGAAAAGAAAAGAAAAACAAAATTGCTACACAGGTATAGAAATTGTGACTATATTGGAAGTAAAATAAAAAGACATAACTACAGGGTGCCTCCCACAAGTGCTTTATTTAATGCCTTTGAGCTAAGCACAGTTATTGTGAACGATATTCAAGTTTTATCATCTCCACTTCCACCACATAAGTGGAAAATATTATTTCATATGGTTCCTTACAAGGTAGTGGATTTATCAAATGTGAAACTCTCTCTTGCTCATCAATGATTCTCATGAAGAAGGAAACGAGGTCCCCTTCTTCACCCACATGCCCTTTTGCCTTTCCACAAGGTTCTTGTGAAGATAGCCAACACAATTTCTCATATATAGCTTTAGCAATACGTTCTAATTTGTTCTCAATTGTGGCCTTAGATAAGGGTTTGTAAAAATCTTCCTTATTCCATCGTAAAAACCCAATACAAATTCTTCTTATCTCATTATATCATTGGCCCAAGGATTTACTACTAGGATTTTACAATACCAAAGACCTCTCGTGCATCCCTTATAGTAGGTTCAAAAACCCTAATAATGGTATTAAAAATATATTTCTTGTTGTAATCCTCTTTCATATTTTCAGTTCCAAGAATATTCTTTGTAATTTAGAGTGAAGATAAAAGTACATTCTAGATCACCTACAATTTCAATCATAGATTCACAATAGGAATGCGTGGTTCTCAACTTCTCATGATATAGTATTTTTGGTGGCTATTTAATTTTTCTAACAAAGGTTGGGGGAAAATCAACGGTTACCTTACTAGGAACAAAGTTTCCATTATAACTACCAAAACTGATCCTTCTCATTCTAGGAAAAGGTTCCATTGCAACAAACTAGAAAAGAGAAACCAGTTGCCCAAATTATAATTATTTTAGGAGTTTATGGTATTTTGGAAAAATAAAAAGACTAACAATGATAAACATTAATAGTTGAGGAAAATAAATAAAAGAATGAAGATAATAAAAGTGATACATAACCTCTGATATAAGATTACATTCTCGGCAACGGCGCTAGAAACTGTTGGATGCTTGTAGGTGATTAAACCAATGCAAGGTAGTTGAGTCTCCAAGTGCAAGGGTTTGTATAAAGTAATAAGTTTCCCTTAGTGAGAACGAAGGAGTCAATCTGTGGAGGCATATGTTTCCTACACCAATGATAAATTCTGCAACACAGATAAAACTTCCCTTGTGCCCCCAACAACATTAAGGTGCTAACCTTGCTAGATTTGTGTAACATCCCAATTTTCAATTTGGATGTTATTTATAGATCATTCATATGCATCCATGATTTATGCATTTTGTTTCATTTGTTTTAGTTGAATTTTGATCTTAGAACCTTAAGCAACTCAAGGACCAAATTGAGAGAGTTGGAAGTTTCCCAAAAATCCATTTTTGATTTTTCAAAATTCAGAAAATTGGATCAAATTGTTTTTTAATTATTTTCCAATTATTTTGCAAATAAATAAAATAAAGAGAGAATATAAAAGGACTTGTTCAAAAACAACAAAGAAATATTGGAAATTGATTTTTTGAATTTTTGGATACTTTATTTGATTTTATTTGCAAGTTTATTTATTTAATTGTGGAGTAATTAGTACTAAAAAGTATGTTTTTAGTTTAGGCAATTAGGCCCATAAAAATGTTCACTAGGTCATTAATAAGGCCATATATTTATGTGAATTTTTCTGTTATTTTTAGATATATTTTTATATTAGTTCTTCATGTTTCTCTTCTGTGGAAAAATTGTTTTATAAAAAAAAAGAGTTCCCGCCGCCGAACCGGGCCAGGCCAGGCCAGCCAGCCGCGCCTCGCGCCAACTCTGACCGGGAGTCTGGCCGCCGCACGGGAGCGCCGCCGCCATCGTGTCCACCTCGGGCACGCCTCGCCGCCGCCTTGCCCCTCCTCCAGGCCGCCCCTCCCCTCCTTCTTTATAAGCCGGACCCTCCGGGACCTCTCTTTCCTCCCCCCAAGCCGCCGAAGCCACAGTCGCCGCCATCTGCGCTGCCGCCTCGCGCTGCACCACCCCACCGCTCTACCGTCGCCGCCGCCCCGCAAGCCGAAGCCGATGCCGCCGCCCCCGCCCGAGCCGAAGTCGCCGCCGCCGTCTGCCTCACCGCCGACGCCGTCCGCCACCGCGGTAGCCCCCGACCCTCTTGTCTGTCCGATCTAGATCTAACGATCCAGATCTATTTCATTTTTTCGGAATCGTTTTCTTTATTTAGCGAGCGTTCGCTCGTTACGTCTCTACAGCGAACGGTTTTCGTTCTTTAGGTTTCTGTAGCGAACATTCGTTCGTTAGATTTTTCTTTTTCTTTTATTTTTCTAGCAGGGACCTATCCGCTAGTTTTTATTTATAGTCTAGCCCCTGCATTTCGAACTAACACAATTTTTTTGCTCGTTTGCCCGAATTCGATGAAACCAACGCCAAAATCTTCAGAGCCATCTCATCTATCGAGTAAACCAA